GCTAAGGCTCTTAAGGAAGCTTGTGGACACTTAGAGAACTCAACCATTCAGCAAAGGACCTGAGATCGAGTTGCGGATCGGGCAACGCAGGTCGATCTAGACGAGATCGACCAGAAAATCGAGTGACCCCCAGTCGATTCAAGAGGGAGATCGAGCATGCGAACGAGTGAGGAGGTCGATCGAGAGTACGGATGTGGGCCATGCCATGCAGATCGAGGGCCAGATCAAGTTCCCGACCCGATCATCAAAAGATCGACTCAAAGATCGAGCGAAGTCATCCGATCCAAGAGAAGATCGAGCTGGAGATCGAGTGACCCGAGTTGATCCCAGACTAACCTTATCCGTCCAGCTGGTTTTGGCAGCTAGCGAAGGGGGGACCATTTGTGGTTTAGCTATTTTTGGCAAACCGCAGCCATCGCTTTCATTATCATCCATTCTGTCTTTTACTTTTTCGTTCACCTCTTCCTTAGGCAATTTTCGCCATTGTAGACTTTAAGCTTTTTTCGTTTTTGAACCTTTGAATCTTTGAATATCAAGCAAATTTTCTTTTAATCAATCGTTAATCATGCTTAGCTTATCGTTTATTACTTTTGATTCGATTTTAAATATGTGTTGTGAGTAGTCTTTTTTGGGTTTTGGAGTTGAGGCGATTCAAAAGGGTTGAAAGGGTTTAAAGCTTTGTGTTTTCTTTGTTCTTCATACCTTCTCTTCTAGGATCTTGGGATCTTAAAGCCTAGAGAGCCTTGGAAAAGGTCTCTATGAACCAAAGGCTGTCTTACCTTGACAGGATTCAGATGTCCTGCAAAACCAGATCCTAGATGCTAATCCTTCATTTCCCATACGCCATGGTTGTTTAGGGGGTTAGTTAGGTCATTATTTGAAATCCGTCTTTGTTGCTCTTCGATCTCTTTTTCCACCAAACGCCATGGGTTTGGAGAAGAGATTGAGGAAGTGAACATACCACACGCCATGGATGGTTCTTGTTTTGTTTTCAAGGCTTAGAGAAACCTCTTAAAAGAGTAGATCTAAATGTTTTCAAACCGAAGCTTAAACCTTTGATACCCTTGAATATGACCCTTGACCCTAAACCCTCCTTTTTAGCATATTAAAACCTTTGTTCATCATTCGCTTGTCATTTAGCTTGCATCTTGTTCATCAAAAGTCATTTCGCTTTATGTTGTTTGTTAGATCGATCCATTCTGCTCGATCCAGTGCTCGATCCTGTGGTCGATTCACTGGTCGATTTTTAATTCTTAGTAGCTTTGTATTTTTAATTTTTTTCTTGTTCCTAGTGGTAGTTAACCCTCTTCCAGGGATTATAAAATTGTTTTGCATTACATTAGATCGCTGTATTTAGTTTTCCTTGATTTTACCAATCATTTATCATATTTGCTTAGCTTTGCATTACCCTTGCATTCTCATTGCTCTTCCTGCTCCCTAGGAATGGATTGATTCCTCTTGCACACTATACTACATCTTTGGGTTGCTTGAGTTTTGATAACCTCCTGCTTGCATACTAAAAAACCTGTTATCACCAGCTCATTTTTGGAGCGTAGTGAGGGGACCATTTCGGGTTGTTTAGCCATTTTGGGCAATGTTCTCCTATCCATTTATTCTGTCGAACAGCAACTTTAGTTTTTGCTTTTCTCTTAGGCGATTTTCGCCATTCTTGAACCTTTTTAAGCTTTGAAATTTGTAAAACTCTAATCTTTTCTTAATCATTGAGTATTTCTTAATCGCTTTAGCTTAATCATGTTTGTCTTTCTTTCCCTTGCATTTCAATCGGTTTTAGCTATGTGTAGTGAGTAGTTTATCTTTGGGTTTAAGGTTGGGGAAATTTAGGGGGTTTAAGGGTTTATGCTTGGAGCTTTTTCTTGTTCTTAACTCATTTTCTTCTTGGATTTGGGGGCTTAATGCCTAAAAAGTCTTGGGAAAGATCTTTATGATCTTAGAGATATCCTTACCTTAGCAGGATTCAGGTGTCTCTTAAAACCAAATCGAAGCTGCTAACCCATCCTTTCCCACACACCATGGATGTTTAGGGGCTTAGTCAAGCCACTTTTTGAGATCTATGATTTATGCTCTTCGACCTCTTTTTCCACTATACACCATGGGTTAGGAGGAGAGATTGAAGAAGGGATCTATGCCATACACCATGGATAGATCTATTTTAGATTCTCAAGGCTTAGAGATAGCACAAAAGGTGTAGATTTATGTTTTCAAAACCCAAGCTTGAATCTTTAACCTTCTTAATATGACCCTCAACCTTAGATCCTCCTTTTAGCATTTCAAAACCTCAAGTTTTCATTTCCAATTTTTAAAATTCGCACCTTTGCTTTAGTTTTATTGCATATCTTCTTAAGTTGCTAGAAGTTTCTCTATTTACCCGTTTTAGTTCTCGGTTTTTAGTAATCAGTAGTTTTGCATTTTGGATTCTCTGTTTTCTTCTAGTAGTTGTTAACCCTTAAGTGGGATTTTTAAAATAGTTTTTGTGGTCATTCAGCACTTGCATTTAGTTTTTATCGATTTTACCATTCATTTACCTGATTCTGCTTAGCTTTACATTGCTCTTGCATTCTTAGTGGCTTTCTACAACCTAGGCTGGATTGACACCTCTTCCACCTATACTACAACTATAACGTGCTTTAGGCTTTGATTTTTAACCTCCCATATATTCTAGTTATCATATCCGCCATCCAGCTATCAGTATGTTCATAGAGTCCTCACCAGCACACTCTTCTACAGAAAATAGCAAAGTATGGTCAAATAAGAAGAGATGGGGTTGCTTGTGAATAGCTTGAAGAACATAATGGTTGAAACAAGGCATGGGAAGATCCATGGAGAGCGCTTAGGAGTTGGTCTTGTGGCAATGCTAAAGAAGCAATTTCTAGCATGCCAACAATGGGCTTTCAACACTAGAGACAAGAAGCCAAAGATAGCTACTGGAGGTGTGATCACTCCTATCATGCTTAGTTCTGGAGTTGAGCTTGGCACACCAGATGTCACAATGGTCTTCTTAGATGTTCCTTATCTCAGTAATATCGGATACCTTTCAGGAGCTGTTGAGTCAGGATTTGGCTATCAGTTTGAGATGGAAAACATGAAGAGAAAGATCATCTTGCCCAAGCCGCGCTTAACCAACTTCACATCCTATGAGAACATCCGATTCATGCCAACAGAATATGAGCTTTATGACCCAAGGACTGACCCACCATTGATGAGGCCAAGCAAAGTGAAGAACATGAGCACCATCAGAGACTCAGATGTGGAAGAATACATTGAAGAGCAGCATCAAGAACATGAGACTCAGCATCAAGGGATGGAGGAGGCTGAACATGATGACTATGATAGCCGCCCTTATGCATTTGACCCTATAATGTGATCTGCACATCTAAAGATTCAAAGGCTGCACATGAGCACATTAGGCTTCTTCAGAGGTGGAACCACTTACAAGACAAAGCCATCAGAGGTTTGCTGAAGACAGTCAAAGCAAGCAAGAAATCGGTTGACTCATGAAGAAGAAAGTGAGGAAGCTCAAGAAGAGGTTGGGAGGATTTTCATCAGCCAAGAGAACTGATCAAGCGGTCCAAGAAGAGCCAAAAGGAGGAGCATCCGATGCTAAGGAAATGTCAGAGGACACACCAGAGGCTACAGTCCAAGAGAGACACTCATTTCACATCAGTGAGAGGCCAAGGACACAAGCTTCTCAACCGGCCAAGCATTCATCTCATATAGCTGCTCTGTGGCGAAAAGGAAAGAAGAGAAGGACTAGACAGCAAACTCCATCAGAGGAGGAAACTTCACCTTCCCATACCATTGAGAGTTCAGACTCTCACCACTCCTCCACCACACTAACCATTGTAAATACCACTCATTTTTTTCTTACATGCGATTGTTTGCTTGATGATTGTAAACACTCTCCTTAGAATTTTTATTACACAGACACCGTGGAATTTAAGTGTGGGGGAAAGGTTATGATGGACTGATGCTTGCATTTGTTGAGGATTCATGATGAGGATTCTTTAACTCTGATACCAACTCATGTAGAAACGGAATAATGTAAATACCAAGTAACTTTGATCTTCTATGATCGAATAACTTAGAGATAATTGGGCTTGAGGTCTTCTGAAATATTTGCAAGTACAAAGTCAGATTTAAATAAAACAAAATCTCTCAAAGTTTATTCATTATAAGCTGCTTTCCGAATAAACATAGATAAGTAACTATTTATAGCTATGAAGAAATGTAAATACCAAAACCAAAACCTTAATCTATTCGATAAGTTTACTTTCATGTAAAAAGGAATACGTAAAACATAATATTTAACTATGTCATCTACATATAATACACAATTTTCTTAGACGCTGAAAAATGAAACAATGGCGATAAAAAAATATAAGAGACAATAAAGTTCACTTTGGTCTTCCTGTGAAAAATAAGTCCAAAATCAGTTTTACTTTGACAGAATCCTAAAGACCTGAGGCTAAAAATAATTCGTTTTATGCATTATTTTTATAAATAATTATTTTTTGGATAGTAAATTTATAATTTCATATTCTCCTAAGATGTATAGTCTCTTTTTGTATATCCTCGTATTTTTTCCCAACACTTATATATTTGTTTATGAACTGTCAAAACTATCAATCCTAAATGGTTAACCAATAATTAATGTGATTTTTGATATTCAATGATATTATTTATTTAATTTTCTCACAGCTAGTATTTATTTCATTGAAAGATAAAAAATGTCCTGACAAAAATAATGGTTGAAAGATAGAGGATATGTATAACTTGGATTCCAAAATAAATAAAAAAGTTAATTTTTAATATCTTTCCTACCTTTTTTTTTACCAGGATTTTATTACCTTTTCTAACTTATCACATCTAAACTTTTGTCCTTTGACCAATGTTTTAGTATATTTCCTAACTTATGCCATGTATTGAATAAATCAGCAAGAAATTTATAAGTTCATGTGCCAAGATTCTATTATAAGAGGAACTCTGACAACCTCTGATATCATCAGTTTGAGAGAAACAAAACTGTTACACAGCAGAAATGAATAATAATGTAATCTTTGTTCTTCTCATCTCCCTTGTCCTCCTCCCTCTATACGCATCTGCGGCAGCGAGTCGGGGTGGCTGGATTCCTATCACAAACATTAAGGACCCGCATGTGGTACATATTGGTGAATTCGCTGTTTCTGAATACAACAAGCAGACCAAATCAGGACTCAAGTTCGACTCGATTGTTAGCGGTGTATCTCAAGTGGTATCTGGTTTGAATTACCAGCTTGTGGTGGCGGCTGATGACTCCGGAACGAGCAAGAACTATGAGGCAATTGTATGGGAGGAGCTGTGGCAAAGATCAATGAATCTCACATCTTTCACGCCTCTTCTCAAAAATAATCGTTTCTTCTAGGTTTTTTTTGTAACCGCTCTTTTTATAGTTGAATAAAAAAAATTAATGTCAAGATTTGTATCATCTGGTTTACAAATTTCGTGTTGCTGGAATAAATAAGATATGATGAATAAAGATATGGTATTTGATTAAATAAGTGTTTAGCACATCCTCTAATTATGCCGATCTAAGACTCTTCTTAGGGGTCATGATGAGGATTCTTTAACTCTGATACCAACTCTTTTAGCAACGGAATAATGTAAATACCAAGTAATTTTGATCTTCTAAGATCGAATAACTTAGAGATAATTGGGCTTGAGGTCTTGTGAAATATGTGCAAGTTCAAAGTCAGATTTAAATAAAACAAAATCTCTCAAAGTTTATTCATTATAAGCTGCTTTCCCACTAAACATGGATAAGTATCTCTTTATAGCTATGAAAAAATGTAAATACCAAAACCAAAACTTTAATCTATTCGATAGGTTTACTTTCATGTAAAAAAGAATACGTAAAACATAATATTTAACTATGTTATCTACATATAATACACAATTTTCTTAGACGCTGTAAAATGAAACAATGGCGATAAAAAATATATAAGAGACAATAAAGTGCACTTTGGTCTTCCTGCGAAAAATAAGTCCAAAATCAGTTTTACTTTGACAGAATCTTAAAGACCTGAGGCTAAAAATAATTCGTTTTATGCATTGTATTTATAAATAATTATTTTTTGGATAGTAAATTCATAATTTCATATTTTCCTAAGATGAATAGTCTCTTTTTGTATATCCTCGTATTTTTTCCCAACATTTATATATTTGTTTATGAACTGTCAAAACTATCAATCTTAAATGGTAAACCAATAATTAATGTGATTTTTGATATTCAATGATATTATTTATTTAGTTTTCTCACAGCTAGTATTTATTTCATTGAAAGATAAAAAATGTCCTGACAAAAATAATGGTTGAAAGATAGAGGATATGTATAAGTTGGATTCCAAAATAAATAAAAAAGTTAATTTTTAATATCTTTCGTACCTTTTTTTTTACGAGGATTTTATTACGTTTTCTAACTTATCACATCTAAACTTTTGTCCTCTGATGAATGTTTTAGTATCTTTCCTAACTTATGCCATGTATCTAATAAATCAGCAGAAATTTATAAGTTCATGTGCCAAGATTCTATTATAAGAGGAGCTCTAACAACCTATGATATCATCAGTTTGAGAGAAACAAAACTGTTACACAGCAGAAATGAATAATAATGTATTCTTCGTTCTTCTCATCTCCCTTGTCCTCCTCCCTCTATACGCATCTACGACAGCGCGTCTGGGTGGCTGGATTCCTAACTCAAACATTAAGGACCCACATGTGGTACATATTGGTGAATTCGCTGTTTCTGAATACAACAAGCAGACCAAATCAGGACTCAAGTTCGACTCGGTTGTTAGCGGTGAATCTCAAGTTGTCTCAGGTTTTAATTACCGGCTTGTGGTGGCGGCTGATGACTCCGGAACAAGCAAGAACTAGGAGGCAATTGTATGGGAGGAGCTGTGGCAAAGATCAATGTATCTCACATCTTTCAAGCCTCTTCTCAAAAATAATCGTGTCTTCTAGGTTTTTTTTGTAACCGATCTTTTTATAGTTGAATAAAAAAAAATTAATGTCAAGTTTTTTATCATCTGGTTTACAAATTTCGTATAGTTGGAATAAATAAAATATAATGAAAATGAAGAAATTGTATTTTGTTTGATATCAATAAGGAAATGGTATTTGATTAAATAAGTGATTAGCACATCCTCTAATTATGCCGATCTAAGAGTCTTCTTAGGCGTCATGATGAGGATTCTTTAACTCTGATACCAACTCTTGTAGAAACAGAATAATGTAAATCCCAAGTAACTTTGATCTTCTATGATGGAATAACTTAGAGATAATTGGGCTTGAGGTCTTCTGAAATATTTGCAAGTTCAAAGTTAGATTAAAATATAACAAAATCTCACCAAGTTTATTCATTATAAGCTGCTTTCCGATGAAACATGGATAAGTATCTATTTAAAGCTGTGAAGAAATGTAAATACCAAAACCAAAACCTTAATCTATTCGATAAGTTTACTTTCATGTAAAAAGGAATACATAAAGCATAATATTTAACAATGTCATCTACATATAATACACAATTTTCTTAGACGTTGAAAAATGAAAAAATGGCGATCAAAAAATATAAGAGACAATAAAATTTATTTTGGTCTTCCTGTGAAAAATAAGTCCAAAATCAGTTTTACTTTGAAAGAATCCTAAAGACCTGAGGCTAAAAATAATTCGTTTTATGCATTGTATTTATAAATAAATATTTTTTTGGATAGTAAATTCATAATTGCATACTCTCCTAAGATGTATAGTCTCTTTTTTTAAATCCTCATATTTTTTCCCAACACTTATATATTTGTTTATGGACTGTCAAACTATCAATTATAAATGGTAAACCATTAAAAATGTGATTTTTGATATTCAGTGTTATTATTTATTTAAATTTCTCACAGCTAGTATTTATTTCATTGAAAGATAAAAAATGTCCTAACACAAATAATGGTTGAAAGATAGAGGATATGTATACGTTGGATTCCAAAATAAATAAATAAAGTTAATTCTGAATATCTTTCCTACCTTTTTTTTTTACCAGTATTTTATTAGCTTTTCTAACTTATCACATGTAAACTTTTGTCTTTTGACCAATGTTTTAGTATCTTTCCTAACTTATGCCATGTATCCAATAAATCAGCAAGAAATTTATAAGTTCAAGTGCCAAGATTCTATTATAAGAGGAACTCTGATAACCTCTGCTATCATCAGTTTGAGAGAAACAAAACTGTTACACAGCAGAAATGAATAATAATGTAATATTCGTTCTTCTCATCTCCCTTGTCCTCCTCCCTCTATACGCATCTGCAGCAGCACGTCTGGGTGGCTGGATTCCTATCACAAATATTAAGGACCCGCATGTGGTACATATTGGTGAATTCGCTGTTTCTGAATACAACAAGCAGACCAAATAAGGACTCAAGTTCGACTAGGTTGTTAGCGGTGAATCTCAAGTGGTCTCTGGTTTGAATTACCGGCTTGTGGCGGCGGCTGATGACTCCGGAACGAGCAAGAACTACGAGGCAATTGGATGGGAGGAGCTAGGGCAAAAATCAATGAATCTCACATCTTTCACGCCTCTTCTCAAAAATAATCGTTTCTTCTAGGATTTTTGTAACCGATATTTTATAGTTGAATAAAAAAAATTAATGTCAAGTTTTTTGTCATCTGGTTTACAAATTTCGTGTAGTTGGAATAAATAAAATACGATGAAAATGAAGAAATTGTATTTTGTTTGATATCAATAAAGAAATGGTATTTGATTAAATAAGTGTTTAGCACATCCTCTAATTATGCCGATCTAAGAGTATTCTTAGGCATCATGATGAGGATTCTTTAACTATGATACCAACTCTTTTAGAAACGGAATAATATATATACCAAGTAACTTTGATCTTCCATAATGGAATAACCTAGAGATAATTGGGCTTGAGGTCTTCTGAAATATTTGCAAGTTCAAATTCAGATTTAAATAAAACAAAATCTCTCCAAGTTTATTCATCATAAGCTGCTTTCCGATGAAACATGGATAAGTATCTATTTTTAGTTATGAAGAAATTTAAATACCAAAACCAAAACCTTAATCTATTCGATAAGTTTACTTTCATGTAAAAAAGAATACGTAAAACATAATATTTAACCATGTCATCTACATATAATACACAATTTTATTAGACGCTGAAAAGTGAAACAATGGCGATAAAAAAATATAAGAGACAATAAAGTTCACTTTGGTCTTCCTGTTAAAATTAAGTCCCAAATCAGTTTTACTTTGACAGAATCCTAAAGACCTGAGGCTTAAAATAATTCGTTTTATGCATTGTATTTATAAATATTTATTTTTTTGGATACTAAATTAAAAATTTCATACTCTCCTAAAATGTATAGTCCCTTTTTGTATATCCTCGTATTTTTTCCCAACACTTATATATTTGTTTATGAACTGTCAACTATCAATCCTAAATAGTAAACCAATAATTAATGTGATTTTTGATATTCAGTGATATTATTTATTTAATTTTCTCACAGCTAGTATTTATTTTATTGAAAGATAAAAAATTTCCTAACACAAATAATGGTTGAAAGATAGAGGATATGTATACGTTGGATTCCAAAATAAATAAATAAAGTTAATTCTGAATATCTTTCCTACCTTTTTTTTTACCAGGATTTTATTACCTTTTCTAACTTATCACATGTAAACTTTTGTCTTTTGACCAATGTTTTAATATCTTTCCTAACTTATGCCATATATCGAATAAATCAGCAAGAAATTTATAAGTTCATGTGCCAAGATTCTATTATAAGAGGAATTCTGATAACTTCTGCTATCATCAGTTTGAGAGAAACAAAACTGTTACACAGCAGAAATGAATAATAATGTAATATTCGTTCTTCTCATCTCCCTTGTCCTCCTCCCTCTATACGCATCTGCAGCAGCGCGTCTGGGTGGCTGGATTCCTATCACAAATATTAAGGACCCGCATGTGGTACATATTGGTGAATTCGCTGTTTCTGAATACAACATGCAGACCAAATAAGGACTCAAGTTCGACTAGGTTGTTAGCGGTGAATCTCAAGTGGTCTCTTGTTTGAATTACCGGCTTGTGGTTGCGGCTGATGACTCTGGAACGAGCAAGAACTACGAGGCAATTGGATGGGAGGAGCTAGGGCAAAAATCAATGAATCTCACATTTTTCACGCCTCTTCTCAAAAATAATCGTTTCTTCTAGGTTTTTTTTATAACCGCTCTTTTTATAGTTGAATAAAAAAAATTAATGTCAAGATTTGTATCATCTGGTTTACAAATTTCGTGTTGCTGGAATAAATAAGATATGATGAATAAAGATATGGTATTTGATTAAATAAGTGTTTAGCACATCCTCTAATTATGCCGATCTAAGACTCTTCTTAGGGGTCATGATGAGGATTCTTTAACTCTGATACCAACTCTTGTAGCAACGGAATAATGTAAATACCAAGTAATTTTGATCTTCTAAGATCGAATAACTTAGAGATAATTGGGCTTGAGGTCTTGTGAAATATGTGCAAGTTCAAAGTCAGATTTAAATAAAACAAAATCTCTCAAAGTTTATTCATTATAAGCTGCTTTCCCACTAAACATGGATAAGTATCTCTTTATAGCTATGAAGAAATGTAAATACCAAAACCAAAACCTTAATCTATTTGATAGGTTTACTTTCATGTAAAAAGGAATACGTAAAACATAATATGTAACTATGTCATCTACATATAATACACAATTTTCTTAGACGCTGAAAAATGAAACAATAGCGATAAAAAAATATAAGAGATAATAAAGTTCACTTTGGTCTTCCTATGAAAAAAGTCCAAAATCAGTTTTACTTTGACAGAATCCTAAAGACCTGAGGCTAAAAATAATTCGTTTTATGCATTCTTTTTATAAATAATTATTTTTTGGATAGTAAATTCATAATTTCATATTCTCCTAAGATGTATAGTCTCTTTTTGTATATCCTCGTATTTTTTCCCAACACTTATATATTTTTTTATGAACTGTCAAAACTATCAATCCTAAATGGTTAACCAATAAATAATGTGATTTTTGATATTCAATGATATTATTTATTTAATTTTCTCACGGCTAGTATTTATTTCATTGAAAGATAAAAAATGTCCTGACAAAAATAATGGTTGAAAGATAGAGGATTCCAAAATAAATAAAAAAGTTAATTTTTAATATCTTTCCTACCTTTTTTTTTACCAGGATTTTATTACCTTTTCTAACTTATCACATCTAAACTTTTGTCCTTTGACCAATGTTTTAGTATATTTCCTAACTTATGCCATGTATTGAATAAATCAGCAAGAAATTTATAAGTTCATGTGCCAAGATTCTATTATAAGAGGAACTCTGACAACCTCTGATATCATCAGTTTGAGAGAAACAAAACTGTTACACAGCAGAAATGAATAATAATGTAATCTTCGTTCTTCTCATCTCCCTTGTCCTCCTCCCTCTATACGCATCAGCGGCAGCGAGTCTGGGTGGCTGGATTCCTATCACAAACATTAAGGACCCGCATGTGGTACATATTGGAGAATTCGCTGTTTCTGAATACAACAAGCAGACCAAATCAGGACTCAAGTTCGACTCGGTTGTTAGCGGTGAATCTCAAGTGGTATCTGGTTTGAATTACTGGCTTGTGGTGGCGGCTGATGACTCCGGAACGAGCAAGAACTATGAGGCAATTGTATGGGAGGAGCTGTGGCAAAGATCAATGAATCTCACATCTTTCACACCTCTTCTCAAAAATAATCGTTTCTTCTTGGTTTTTTTTGTAACCGCTCTTTTTATAGTTGAATAAAAAAAATTAATGTCAAGATTTGTATCATCTGGTTTACAAATTTCGTGTTGCTGGAATAAATAAGATATGATGAATAAAGATATGGTATTTGATTAAATAAGTGTTTAGCACATCCTCTAATTATGCCGATCTAAGACTCTTCTTAGGGGTCATGATGAGGATTCTTTAACTCTGATACCAACTCTTGTAGCAACGGAATAATGTAAATACCAAGTAATTTTGATCTTCTAAGATCGAATAACTTAGAGATAATTGGGCTTGAGGTCTTGTGAAATATGTGCAAGTTCAAAGTCAGATTTAAATAAAACAAAATCTCTCAAAGTTTATTCATTATAAGCTGCTTTCCCACTAAACATGGATAAGTATCTCTTTATAGCTATGAAGAAATGTAAATACCAAAACCAAAACCTTAATCTATTCGATAGGTTTACTTTCATGTAAAAAGGAATACGTAAAATATAATATGTAACTATGTCATCTACATATAATACACAATTTTCTTAGACGCTGAAAAATGAAACAATGGCGATAAAAAAATATAAGAGATAATAAAGTTCACTTTGGTCTTCCTGTGAAAATAAGTCCAAAATCAGTTTTACTTTGACAGAATCCTAAAGACCTGAGGCTAAAAATAATTCGTTTTATGCATTGTTTTTATAAATAATTATTTTTTGGATAGTAAATTCATAATTTCATATTCTCCTAAGATGTATAGTCTCTTTTTGTATATCCTCGTATTTTTTCCCAACACTTATATATTTTTTTATGAACTGTCAAAACTATCAATCCTAAATGGTTAACCAATAATTAATGTGATTTTTGATATTCAATGATATTATTTATTTAATTTTCTCACAGCTAGTATTTATTTCATTGAAAGATAAAAAATGTCCTGACAAAAATAATGGTTGAAAGATAGAGGATATGTATAACTTGGATTCCAAAATAAATAAAAAAGTTAATTTTTAATATCTTTCCTACTTTTTTTTTTACCAGGATTTTATTACCTTTTCTAACTTATCACATCGAAAATTTTGTCCTTTGACCAATGTTTTAGTATATTTCCTAACTTATGCCATGTATTGAATAAATCAGCAAGAAATTTATAAGTTCATGTGCCAAGATTCTATTATAAGCGGAACTCTGACAACCTCTGATATCATCAGTTTGAGAGAAACAAAACTGTTACACAGCAGAAATGAATAATAATGTAATCTTCGTTCTTCTCATCTCCCTTGTCCTCCTCCCTCTATACCCATCTGCGGCAGCGAGTCTGGGTGGCTGGATTCCTATCACAAACATGAAGGACCCGCATGTGGTACATATTGGAGAATTCGCTGTTTCTGAATACAACAAGCAGACCAAATCAGGACTCAAGTTCGACTCGGTTGTCAGCAGTGAATCTCAAGTGGTATCTGGTTTGAATTACTGGCTTGTGGTGGCGGCTGATGACTCCAGAATGAGCAAGAACTATGAGGCAATTGTATAGGAGGAGCTGTGGCAAAGATCAATGAATCTCACATCTTTCACGCCTCTTCTCAAAAATAATCATTTCTTCTAGGTTTTTTTGTAACCGCTCTTTTTATAGTTGAATAAAAAAAATTAATGTCAAGATTTGTATCATCTGGTTTACAAATTTCGTGTTGCTGGAATAAATAAGATATGATGAATAAAGATATGGTATTTGATTAAATAAGTGTTTAGCACATCCTCTAATTATGCCGATCTAAGACTCTTCTTAGGGGTCATGATGAGGATTCTTTAACTCTGATACCAACTCTTGTAGCAACGGAATAATGTAAATACCAAGTAATTTTGATCATCTAAGATCGAATAACTTAGAGATAATTGGGCTTGAGGTCTTGTGAAAAATTTGCAAGTTCAAAGTCAGATTTAAATAAAACAAAATCTCTCAAAGTTTATTCATTATAAGCTGCTTTCCCACTAAACATGGATAAGTATCTCTTTATAGCTATGATGAAATGTAAATACCAAAACCAAAACCTTAATCTATTCGATAGGTTTACTTTCATGTAAAAAGGAATACGTAAAACATAATATGTAACTATGTCATCTACATATAATACACAATTTTTTTAGACGCTGAAAAATGAAACAATGGCGATAAAAAAATATAAGAGACAATAAAGTTCACTTTGGTCTTCCTGTGAAAAATAAGTCCAAAATCAGTTTTACTTTGACAGAATCCTAAAGACCTGAGGCTAAAAATAATTCGTTTTATGCATTGTTTTTATAAATAATTATTTTTTGGATAGTAAATTCATAATTTCATATTCTCCTAAGATGTATAGTCTCTTTTTGTATATCCTCGTATTTTTTCCCAACACTTATATATTTGTTTATGAACTGTCAAAACTATCAATCCTAAATGGTTAACCAATAATTAATGTGATTTTTGATATTCAATGATATTATTTATTTAATTTTCTCACAGCTAGTATTTATTTCATTGAAAGATAAAAAATGTCCTGACAAAAATAATGGTTGAAAGATAGAGAATATGTATAACTTGGATTCCAAAATAAATAAAAAAGTTAATTTTTAATATCTTTCCTACCTTTTTTTTACCAGGGTTTTATTACCTTTTCTAACTTATCACATCTAAACTTTTGTCCTTTGACCGATGTTTTAGTATATTTCCTAACTTATGCCATGTTTTGAATAAATCAGCCAGAAATTTATAAGTTCATGTGCCAAGATTCTATTATAAGAGGAACTCTGACAACCTCTGATATCATCAGTTTGAGAGAAACAAAACTGTTACACAGCAGAAATGAATAATAATGTAATCTTCGTTCTTCTCATCTCCCTTGTCCTCCTCCCTCTATACGCATCTGCGGCAGCAAGTCTGGGTGGCTGGATTCCTATCACAAACATTAAGGACCCGCATGTGGTACATATTGGAGAATTCACTGTTTCTGAATACAACAAGCAGACCAAATCAGGACTCAAGTTCGACTCGGTTATTAGCAGTGAATCTCAAGTGGTATCTGGTTTGAATTACTGGCTTGTGGTGGCGGCTGATGACTCCGGAACGAGCAAGAACTATGAGGCAATTGTATGGGAGGAGCTGTGGCAAAGATCAATGAATCTCACATCTTTCACGCCTCTTCTCAAAAATAATCGTTTTTTCTAGGTTTTTTTGTAACCGCTCTTTTTATAGTTGAATAAAAAAAAGTAATGTTAAGATTTGTATCATCTGGTTTACAAATTTCGTGTTGCTGGAATAAATAAGATATGATGAATAAAGATATGGTATTTGATTAAATAAGTGTTTAGCACATCCTCTAATTATGCCGATCTAAGACTCTTCTTAGGGGTCATGATGAGGATTCTTTAACTCTGATACCAACTCTTGTAGCAACGGAATAATGTAAATACCAAGTAATTTTGATCTTCTAAGATCGAATAACTTAGAGATAATTGGGCTTGAGGTCTTGTGAAATATTTGCAAGTTCAAAGTCAGATTTAAATAAAATAAAATCTCTCAAAGTTTATTCATTATAAGCTGCTTTCCCACTAAACATGGATAAGTATCTCTTTATAGCTATGAAGAAATGTAAATACCAAAACCAAAACCTTAATCTATTCGATAGGTTTACTTTCATGTAAAAAGGAATACGTAAAACATAATATTTAATTATGTCATCTACATATAATACACAATTTTCTTAGACGCTGTAAAATGAAACAATAGCGATAAAAAATATATAAGAGACAATAAAGTACACTTTGGTCTTCCTGCGAAAAATAAGTCCAAAATTAGTTTTACTTTGACAGAATTTTAAAGACCTGAGGCTAAAAATAATTCGTTTTATGCATTGTATTTATAAATAATTATTTTTTGGATAGTAATTTCATAATTTCATATTTTCCTAAGATGAATAGTCTCTTTTTGTATATCCTCGTATTTTTTCCCAACATTTATATATTTGTTTATGAACTGTCAAAACTATCAATCTTAAATGGTAAACCAATAATTAATGTGATTTTTGATATTCAATGATATTATTTATTTAGTTTTCTCACAGCTAGTATTTATTTCATTGAAAGATAAAAAATGTCCTGACAAAAATAATGGTTGAAAGATAGAGGATATGTATAAGTTGGATTCAAAAATAAATAAAAAAGTTAATTTTTAATATCTTTCGTACCTTTTTTTTTACCAGAATTTTATTATGTTTTCTAACTTATCACATCTAAACTTTTATCCTCTGATGAATGTTTTAGTATCTTTCCTAACTTATGCCATGTATCTAATAAATCAGCAGAAATTTATAAGTTCATGTGCCAAGATTCTATTATAAGAGGAGCTCTAACAACCTATGATATCATCAGTTTGAGAGAAACAAAACTGTTACACAGCAGAAATGAATAATAATGTAATCTTCGTTCTTCTCATCTCCCTTGTCCTCCTCCCTCTATACGCATCTACGACAGCGCGTCTGGGTGGCTGGATTCCTAACTCAAACATTAAGGACCCACATGTGGTACATATTGGTGAATTCGCTGTTTCTGAATACAACAAGCAGACCAAATCAGGACTCAAGTTCGACTCGGTTGTTAGCGGTGAATCTCAAGTTGTCTCAGGTTTTAATTACCGGCTTGTGGTGGCGGCTGATGACTCCGGAACAAGCAAGAACTAGGAGGCAATTGTATGGGAGGAGCTGTGGCAAAGATCAATGTATCTCACATCTTTCAAGCCTCTTCTCAAAAATAATCGTGTCTTCTAGGTTTTTTTGTAACCGATCTTTTTATAGTTGAATAAAAAAAAATTAATGTCAAGTTTTTTATCATCTGGTTTACAAATTTCGTATAGTTGGAATAAATAAAATATAATGAAAATGAAGAAATTGTATTTTGTTTGATATAAATAAGGAAATGGTATTTGATTAAATAAGTGATTAGCACATCCTCTAATTATGCCGATCTAAGAGTCTTCTTAGGCGTCATGATGAGGATTCTTTAACTCTGATACCAACTCTTGTAGAAACAGAATAATGTAAATCCCAAGTAACTTTGATCTTCTATGATGGAATAACTTAGAGATAATTGGGCTTGAGGTCTTCTGAAATATTTGCAAGTTCAAAGTTAGATTAAAATATAACCAAATCTCACCAAGTTTATTCATTATAAGCTGCTTTCCGATGAAACATGGATAAGTATCTATTTAAAGCTGTGAAGAAATGTAAATACCAAAACCAAAACCTTAATCTATTCGATAAGTTTACTTTCATGTAAAAAGGAATACATAAAGCATAATATTTAACAATGTCATCTACATATAATACACAATTTTCTTAGACGTTGAAAAATGAAAAAATGGCGATCAAAAAATATAAGAGACAATAAAATTTATTTTGGTCTTCCTGTGAAAAATAAGTCCAAAATCAGTTTTACTTTGAAAGAATCCTAAAGACCTGAGGCTAATAATAATTCGTTTTATGCATTGTATTTATAAATAATTATTTTTTGGATAGTAAATTCATAATTGCATACTCTCCTAAGATGTATAGTCTCTTTTTTTAAATCCTCATATTTTTTCCCAACACTTATATATTTGTTTATGGACTGTCAAACTATCAATTATAAATGGTAAACCATTAAAAATGTGATTTTTGATATTCAGTGTTATTATTTATTTAAATTTCTCACAGCTAGTATTTATTTCATTGAAAGATAAAAAATGTCCTAACACAAATAATGGTTGAAAGATAGAGGATATGTATACGTTGGATTCCAAAATAAATAAATAAAGTTAATTCTGAATATCTTTCCTACCTTTTTTTTTTACCAGGATTTTATTAGCTTTTCTAACTTATCACATGTAAACTTTTGTCTTTTGACCAATGTTTTAGTATCTTTCCTAACTTATGCCATGTATCGAATAAATCAGCAAGAAATTTATAAGTTCATGTGCCAAGATTCTATTATAAGAGGAACTCTGATAACCTCTGCTATCATCAGTTTGAGAGAAACAAAACTGTTACACAGCAGAAATGAATAATAATGTAATATTCGTTCTTCTCATCTCCCTTGTCCTCCTCCCTCTATACGCATCTGCGGCAGCGCGTCTGGGTGGCTGGATTCCTATCACAAATATTAAGGACCCGCATGTTTTACATATTGGTGAATTCGCTGTTTCTGAATACAACAAGCAGACCAAATAAGGACTCAAGTACGACTAGGTTGTTAGCGGTGAATCTCAAGTGGTCTCTGGTTTGAATTACCGGCTTGTGGTGGCGGCTGATGACTCCGGAACGAGCAAGAACTACGAGGCAATTGGATGGGAGGAGCTAGGGCAAAAATCAATGAATCTCACATCTTTCACGCCTCTTCTCAAAAATAATCGTTTCTTCTAGGTTTTTTTTTGTAACTGATATTTTATAGTTGAATAAAAAAAATTAATGTCAAGTTTTTTGTCATCTGGTTTACAAATTTCGTGTAGTTGGAATAAATAAAATACGATGAAAATGAAGAAATTGTATTTTGTTTGATATCAATAAAGAAATGGTATTTGATTAAATAAGTGTTTAGCACATCCTCTAATTATGCCGATCTAAGAGTCTTCTTAGGCATCATGATGAGGATTCTTTAACTCTGATACCAACTCTTTTAGAAACGGAATAATATAAATACCAAGTAACTTTGATCTTCCATAATGGAATACCTTAGAGATAATTGGGCTTGAGGTCTTCTGAAATATTTGCAAGTTCAAATTCAGATTTAAATAAAACAAAATCTCTCCAAGTTTATTCATTATAAGCTGTTTTCCGATGAAACATGGATAAGTATCTATTTTTAGCTATGAAGAAATTTAAATACCAAAACCAAAACCTTAATCTATTCGATAAGTTTACTTTCATGTAAAAAGGAATACGTAAAACATAATATTTAACCATGTCATCTACATATAATACACAATTTTCTTAGATGCTGAAAAGTGAAACAATGGCGATAAAAAAATATAAGAGACAATAAAGTTCACTTTGGTCTTCCTGTTAAAATTAAGTCCCAAATCAGTTTTACTTTGACAGAATCCTAAAAGACCTGAGGCTTAAAATAATTCGTTTTATGTATTGTATTTATAAATATTTATTTTTTTGGATACTAAATTAAAAATTTCATACTCTCCTAAAATGTATAGTCCCTTTTTGTATATCCTCGTATTTTTTCCCAACACTTATATATTTGTTTATGAACTGTCAACGATCAATCCTAAATGGTAAACCAATAATTAATGTGATTTTTGATATTCAGTGATATTATTTATTTAATTTTCTCACAGCTAGTATTTATTTCATTGAAAGATAAAAAAATGTTCTAACACAAATAATGGTTGAAAGATAGAGGATATGTATACGTTGGATTCCAAAATAAATAAATAAAGTTAATTCTGAATATCTTTCCTACCTTTTTTTTTACCAGGATTTTATTACCTTTTCTAACTTATCACATGTAAACTTTTGTCTTTTGACCAATGTTTTTAATATCTTTCCTAACTTATGCCATGTATCGAATAAATCAGCAAGAAATTTATAAGTTCATGTGCCAAGATTCTATTATAAGAGGAACTCTGACAACCTCTGCTATCATCAGTTTGAGAGAAACAAAACTGTTACACAGCAGAAATGAATATTAATGTAATCATCGTTCTTCTCATCTCCCTTGTCCTCCTCCCTCTATACGCATCTGCAGCAGCGCATCTGGGTGGCTGGATTCCTATCACCAACATTAAGGACCCGCATGTGGTACATATTGGTGAATTCGCTGTTTCTGAATACAACAAGCAGACCAAATCAGGACTCAAGTTCGACTCTGTTGTTAGCGGTGAATCTCAACTGGTCTCTGGTTTGAATTACCGGCTTTTGGTTGCGGCTGATGACTCCGGAACGAGCAAGAACTACGAGGCAATTGTATGGGAGGAGCTAAGGCAAAGATCAATGAATCTCACATCTTTCACGCCTCTTCTAAAAAATAATCGTTTCTACTAGGTTTTTTTTGTAACCGATCTTTTTATAGTTGAATAAAAAAAATTAATGTCAAGTTTTTTATCATATGGTTTACAAATTTCGTGTAGTTGGAATAAATAAAATATGATGAAAATGAAGAAATGGTATTTTGTTTGATATCAATAAAGAAATCGTATTTGATTAAATAAGTGTTTAGCACATCTTCTAATTATGCCGATCTAAGAGTCTTCTTAGGCGTCATGATGAGGATTCTTTAACACTGATACCAACTCTTGTAGAAAGGGAATAATGTAAATACCAAGTAACTTTGATCTTTTATGATGGAATAACTTAGAGATAATTGGGCTTGAGGTCTTCTGAAATATTTTCAAGTTCAAAGTCAGATTTAAATAAAACATAATCTCTCCAAGTTTATTCATTATAAGCTGCTTTCCGATGAAACATGGATATGTATCTATTTTTAGCTATGAAGAAATTTAAATACCAAAACCAAAACCTTAATCTATTCGATAAGTTTACCTTCATGTAAAATGGAATACGTAAAACATAATATTTAACCATGTCATCTACATATAATACACAATTTTCGTAAACACTGAAAAATGAAACAATGGCAATAAAAAAATATAAGAGACAATAAAGTTCACTTTGGTCTTCCTGTGAAAATTAAGTCCCAGATCAGTTTTATTTTGACAGAATCCTAAAGACCTGAGGCTTAAAATAATTCGTTTTATGCATTGTATTTATAAATAATTATTTTTTTGGATAGTAAATTCAAAATTTCATACTCTCCTAAGATGTATAGTCTCTTTTTGTATATCCTCGTATATTTTCCCAACACTTATATATTTGTTTATGAATTATCAACTATCAATCCTAAATGGTAACCAATAATTAATGTGATTTTTGATATTCAGTGATATTATTTATTTAATTTTCTCACAGCTAGTATTTATTTTATTGAAAGATAAAAAAATGTCCTAACACAAATAATGGTTGAAAGATAGAGGATATGTATAAGTTGGATTCCAAAATAAATAAATTATGTTAATTCTGAATATCTCTCTTTCCTTTTTTTGATCAGGATTTTATTACTTTTTCTAACTCATCACATGTAAACTTTTGTCTTTTGACTAATATCTTAGTATCTTTCCTAACTTATGCTATGTATCGTATAAATCAGCAAGAAATTTATAAGTTCATGTGCCAAGATTCTATTATAAGAGGAACTCTAACAACCTCTGTTATCATCAGTTTGAGAGAAACAAAACTGTTACACAGCAGAAATGAATAATAAGGTAATCTTTGTTCTTCTCATCTCCCTTGTCCTCCTCCCTCTATACGCATCTGCGGCAGCGCGTCTGGGTGGCTGGATTCCTATCACCGACATTAAGGACCCGCATGTGGTACATATTGGTGAATTCGCTGTTTCTGAATACAACAAGCAGACCAAATCAGGACTCAAGTTCGACTCGGTTGTTAGCGGTGAATCTCAAGTGGTCTCTGGTTTGAATTACCGACTTGTGGTGGTGGCTGACGACTCCGAAACGAGCAAGAACTACGAGGCAATTGTATGGGAGGAGCTAAAGCAAAGATCAATGAATCTCATATCTTTCACGCCTCTTCTCAAAAATAATCGTTTCTTCTAGGTTATTTTTGTAACCGATCTTTTT